CATTAGCACCTCTAGTAATATATTTACTGAGAAAAATGGTGACGTGTTCAATACTTATTTTACCCGCTGTATTTCAAAAACTGATCAACAAATTTGAATGAAACTCTCAGAAATTAATCTCTAGAGATGTTTATTTATAACTGATTAACTTTTGAAGTCACCTTGATTCAAGAAGCCCACAGACTTGTAGCTTATAGCTAAAAAAAATGGCTAATACTGTCATTTGTAAAGATACTGAGCTAAAGTTTAGTGGAGTAGTACCTGAGAATTAGCCTCGATTAGCACTTACAAATCAAGTGAGAGCTCTTAAAAAATTAGCAGGTAATATACAGTACAATAATTTTAAAGAATATTATCCAGTGTTGTATAAAGTACCTCAAAGTGATACTTGAGTAAAAGTACAAGTATCTTATAAAATACTTTGGTAAAAGTTAAAGTCTTCTCTAAAAATATTACATGAGTAAAAGTCTTAAAGTATTTGATATGTTTTGTACTTAAATATCAAAAGTAAATTTCTGACATAAAATCTACTTAAGTATTAAAAGTAAAAGTACTGAGTAAAAGTGAGCAGTTAGATTTTCCAAAATGACATTTATTGGGAGGTGACTTCTCCAAAAACTATATTTTCTAACAGCGTGCAGCTGTGATGGGTTGTGTACAAGCTAATGGTGTGTCAGAATGGTATATATTTATACTTCTCATCCAAACACAATTAAATTCACTCTATCCAGGAGACACAATTTATCAGGATAGTATTTTTTAAAATAATAACAACTCAGAATAAAATAGGAGTAACGGCTTTCTACTTCTTACCTTTTAAAAAAAATGTAGTGAGTAGAAAATACAGATAATTGTGTAAAAATGTAATGAGTAAAAGTAAAAAGTATGCTGAAAAATAATTACTCAAGTAAAGTACAGATAACCAAAATTTCTACTTAAATACAGTAACAAAGTATTTGTACTTAGTTACTTTACAACTCTGATATTATCCTAGTTTCATTTCTTCTGCTCTGGCAGCTTGTATAAACATGATGGGTTTTAGCTGAGAAACAGAAGCTTCTAACTGTTTTGACCATTGTATCAAAACATTAAATACTTGTACCAAGAAAATGTATTATCAGTTTTGTATAACTTTAGTGAGGAATGTATTTTTATTTTTTTAAAATTAAATTCCCCGGGTCAGAGGTCCTTTTCCAAGTAGAGGAGATGAAGTATCTCAGGGTCTTGTTCACGAATGAGGGGAAAATAAGTGGGAGATTGATAGGCAGACTGGTGCTGCGTCTGCAGTGATTCAGGTGCAGTACAGATTTGTCATGGTGAAGAGAGAGCTGAGCCAGAAGGTGAAGGTCGATCTATGTTCCTATACCCTCATCTATGGTCCTGAGCTTTGGTTAGTGACTGAAAGAACAAGATCGCTGATACAAGCAGCTGAAATGAGCTTCCTCCGCAGGGTGTCTGGGATCTCCCTTAAGGCTCCCACATACTCGGGTGTATTCTGCGCATTCCATGAGCCGCGCGGACTCCGCGCATATTGTCCGCGGACGGTTGAGAGTTCATACTCGAACGTACTGACCCCCTGACGAATTTTTTAATTTCTCGCAATTTCAGCCATGATGTCAAGGATCAGGAGGAAGAGATAGTTTGCATTTTAGCTTAAAAGCAACAAAAGAAAAAAGAAAAAAAACTACCTTACCCAGATCTGAGTTATTTCCTCCAACAAATTTGTTGCTCGCTGAAATTCTTTACATTCCTTCATTGACGTGTCAAAGTTTTCTAATCTCCTCCATGAGACGCTTTTCAAGATTTGACTCCATTTCGTCCACAAATGACACCGATTCTCTGCTTTATCAGCTTGGTGTCGCACTCAGAACAGTATATGCCATTGTGCCCACCGTGGACGCGGACGTAAAAAATTGATCTCTGCGCGGACCAGTCCGTGGATGTCCGCTTTGAGTCTGCATTGAGTCCGCCTCGAGTCCGCGCGGACCTCCGCGGACCGAATTACGTTCGAGTATGTGGGGGCCTTTAGAGATAGGGTGAGAAGCTCAGTCATCCGGGAGGGACTCAGAGTAGAGCCGCTGCTCCTCCACGTCGAGAGGAGCCAGTTCAGGTGGCTCGGGCATCTGGTAAGGATGCCTCCTGGACGCCTCCCTGGTGAGGTGTTCCGGGCACGTCCCACTGGGAGGAGACCCAGAGGAAGACCCAGGACACACTGGAGGGACTACATTTCTCAGCTGGTCTGGGAACGCCTTGGGATTTCCCCCGAGAAGCTGGCCGAAGTGGCTGGGGAGAGGGAAGTCTGAGCCTCCCTACTTAGGCTGCTGCTCCCAAGACCTAACCCCGGATAAGAGAAAGAACATTTATGATGGATGGATGGATGGATGGATGGATGGATGGATGGATGGATGGATGGAACTCAGTTGTATTATATTTTCTGTAAACAGGATGGCAGCTCAGCTCTTTCTGTTGCGTTAGAGGCAGGACATAATGACATCGCCGTCCTCCTTTACGCTCATGCCAACTTCTCCAGACACTCAGGGGTATGTTTAGATGTCTAACTGAACTATTATAAAAATGTACATATTTGTGGTTCACATTTAAATTTTAACATTTAAATATATAAAATTACTTGCTCTGCCATTTATTTGTGTTTGTTTACAGGCTGTTGGTCGACACAGTGGCAGGTTTCTGTCTTCCTGAAGGAGGAAGTAATAATGTTGGATCAGACGATGTACCAAAGCGTGTCTCCTGAATCCTGTTTGTTAGGGGTTACTATCAGAGCCCTCGCAAAAATCTGGCCAAAGTACTGATTCTACAAATATTGTCAGAGTGTTTCGTCCACTATATGAATGCTAGTGTCATATTTGCTAAGTATGTTAGTATAGCAGAGTAATCAACGTATCTATCATCATAAAAGACCATAAACACTGTTGTTATAGTTATCAGCTTTTTTTAATCAAACAATTTTACAGGAAAATAAAACATTAAAACTTTTGTATATCTTGTAATTGCAACACAAACATATTTGTAAGCTGAGGAGACTGGTGCATAAGTTGGTACAGTTTCTGAAAATAAAGTCAAACAAGTCACTTCCACTTGTGTTGTTTCAAGACGTGTGTAATGTTTCATGATTCATGTGCCAAAAAGCTTTGTGCCAGTAACTACAGCCATGTGATTTCTATCATGATGAAAAATGTGGACAGACTCGCAGATTTTGATGGTATTTTATTTTTTAAGGGCATCCTAACTTTCGCTCATGGGCCGACATCTTCACCTGTGTTCGTTGTCCCACATGACCACAGGGGGGTGATGTTAGTTCATGCTCATGACCTTCCGTCCGCAGGACATAAGGGTTTTAAAGCTACTTTCAGAGCATTAAAGCAAATTGCCTACTGGCCAGGGATGAAAAAAGATGTAAAAAGCTACTGTATGTTGAAGGATGTTTGGTTTGTGGACAGTTCCAC